AAAAAAAAAAAAAAAAAAAAAAAAAAAAATTCATGGCATGGTCAGACCCTTCTGCATCCCCTGCCTCCCTAGCCATGGGCATTTTATGGACTATCTGTGTCCTCCCAAAATTCATATGGTAAAACTCTAATCCTCTGTGTGATAGTATTTGGAGTTGGGGCCTTTGGGAGGGAGTTAGATTTAGATGAGGTCAGAAAGTGGCCATTGTCTTCTTGTAGGAGGAGATCAGAGTTGCTACTCTCTGTCATGTAAGGACACAGTGAAAATATGGCCATCTGCAAGCCAAGAAGAGGACCCCCTCCCCCAAGAACCAGATCAGTTGGCACCCTCATCTTGGACCTTCTAGCCTCCAGAACTATGGGGAATAACTATCTGCTGTTTAAGCTACCCAATCCATGATATTTTGTTACAGGAGCCTGAGCTGCCTACGACAGGTTATAAGTAGAGTCACATTTGCCCTTTGACCTCAATGTTTCCAGTTTGAAAACTCCACCAACTCAAGCTCCAGACTTCAATTTCTGATGAATTTGTGCTTTAGTACCTCTAGGAGGGAGATTGAATCAGTCCCAGCCACTGAAGACACCATCTCTACCCCTCTGCTCTCTTCAAGGTAAAGCTCGGTCCCTCTCCACCCTCTCTGGTACCCTCAGCCACTCCTAGGGTACGCCTGTGGCTCTGCCTCTGCCCTAGTTCTGCCGCACACCCAAGGTAGCTCCCTCTTCACAGTGTTCTATGCTATCAGCCTAGAGTACTCTATAGCTATTTGCTTGAGACAGGAAGTCCTGCCCAGCTTGAGAAGGCAGAACTTTTAAACCAGTAACCAGCCTTTTCTTCCAATGGCCTATGCATGTTGGGGGAAGGGGGTGAGAAGCAGGTGTCCAAAGTAGTTTAAATGGCAGTCACCACACAGTGCTCAGATCTCTGCCCTCCCCCCTTCCCTCTGTCTTCTGTCCTTGCTGCTGAATCTGAGAACCCATATCAGACACCTTTCCCCTAGGATCAATTCTTCCCAGGGGATGGGCAATTTTCTCACTATGGGCTGGCTGGAAAACCCTCTCAAACTGGTCTGTATACAAAGCCCAGAGGTGGTCACTTTTGAGTGATTTTTCCAGAAGATCTCTAGCTAAGTAGTTCTAGAATTATCCACATGGGTAGGGCTCAGGGATGATCACCTGATTGAGAGGAGGGAGGTAGGGGATAAGGCTTGAGGTTGTACTTACAGAGCAAGCCCACTGGTTTTATTTAGATTGCATGTTACAGATCAATAAAAATATTATATTTCCTAAAGATTCCTTTATTCATACTTTACAAAAGGTGAGTAAACATCAATTGATCACATCCAAGTATATGTTAATTGTTCTTTTTATTTGGGAAAGGGATCTTTCAGAGGTCTGATGAGAACTATAGGGGCATAAGGAAATCCCCTATCACCCTCCCTGTGGCACATTGAATAATCAAACAACAAGCTCTTGAACTTCTCCTAGTGGAGATGGGAGAATAGAGGAAAACTGAGATATGACAACCCAAGCAGGATGGGGCTGCTAGGATTCAACCAGAGGACCATTGTGGTCCCAATTCAGCCTCCCTCCCATCACTCCACGAGAGTTCAAGAGATTCAGCTGCAGTAAAGGGATGTTTGCAGTCGATGGCGTGAAAGTTGTCAGTACCAAAAGGAAGTTACTTATGCTCAACCTAAATAAAGTGGGTCTGGGAGGCCATGAGGAAGAGGCACTTGCACACTATGCCTATATATATTTTAAAAAAAACAGGAATTTTTTTCCAAACTGCAGTTTGCTACACAAGTCACCTTTTGACAGCGAGCAGCACAAGGACAGCTAACCACTCATACAAGAACACTTGCCTGACACTCTGTTTTCACTATTGAGTTGATGTCAACTGCTGCAATAAGTCCCTGTAGCCAATGTTCTCTTTGTTTCAAAACAACTTACATGTATTTCTCTCTTTTGTATTTCAAAGCTTCCCCCTTGCCCCAACCTCTTCAGGTATGCCAATAGTCCTCTATGGCATGCACATCCTAGATTGCAATACCCTCCTAATATCTGAACAAATTCTTCCTTTGGAGCACCTGTCTCTCTTTGTTGTTATTTTAGGTTGACATAATCTGGTATCAGAGAACCAGATCCAAAGAGAATAAGCTTTTCTCAGATCAGCAACCCCTGACTCTAGCTGTTTTGTTGGGGTCTTCATCCCCTTATGAGGGTTCTCATGCCACACAAAACTTGCATCATGCTTTTTTCCTGGTAATATCTCTGATGTTAACTTAATTCTTAGACTCAGCTGGAACCCTAAGAGAATGTAAGTAAAATTTTTCTATCCCTATAGTTTCTGACAATGAGAATGGGATCCTAGTATGCTGGGACACCCCACTCACTCAATCTATGAATGAATTCTAAAAGATCTGACAAAAGCTGGTAAAAGATAGGAATTGTTTCCAAAGTCATCCCTTGAGCCCATTGTGCATTCTGCCTCCAAGAATCATCTTTCTGTTGGACATAAGTTCTTTCTTGGTTGAGTACCCTCATTTTGGTTGAATTTTGGCGTCATTTGGGATCTGGTTTAACAGGCCTAAAGGACATCATTCTTCTGGTGAGTATTCTTTTGGTTTCACTTTTGTAGAGGACTTTGCCTCCTTTATATTGAGTATTCTTTGGTGTTCATTGTTTGTGAGCAGAATTTAAATTGGCATCACATAGACTTTTCAAACATTGTGGTTTACCCTTGTGCATGTTTTAATGTATGGGCAAATCACAGCAAAGATAATTTAGAACTCCAATGACCATATGACAATCATTGGAACTCCCTAAGCTTGTTTTTTTCTTGGAACTAAAATTAGAAGACCACAGCTATAGGGTTAAACAGTTGGAATGGGACACATATTTCAGTTGGCATCTTGAGACTTCAAAATGGATTCAGGTCCCAAAACTTGCCTCACTACAAAATACTGTCTCAGAGCTGAGACTCTTTCCTCTTCAAGGCTTTCCCTCCCTTTCCAGTAATTCCTTCTCCTCTTTGTCTTTCTCTAGCTGAACTCCCTTTTTCTCAAACTCCTCAGCTATAACCCGATTCTCTCCACAACCACCAACTCAGTTTTTAATATGTGAAACTTCTAAGGAAGCTCCAGAGGGTGAAATGAAGAGGTCAAAACATGTCATTATAGCATATCAACTGTTTGAGTTAAAGATAGTTTAAAAAAAAAACAGCTGGTACAAAATGACCACTTTGTGCTGTTTCTCAAAACAAGACGAAATTCCCATGTGATATGCACCCTCTCTATACTAATGGAAAGACATCATTCTTATCCTCAAGGATGAGAAGTTGAGCCTGAGAGTGCACTGTACTGACTTTGTTTGAACTCTCACCATTTAAACTTCCCCAAACAATTTAGTCACATTTTTCAGAGTTTATTATTCTTTGTCCAATTCTATATATAAGGAATTGACTCTAACTGCTTTTTTGGGGTCTTCATCTCCTTATGAGGGTTCCCATGCCACACAAAACTTGTATTATGCTTTTTTCCTGTTAATTTATCTGGTGCTAATTTAATTTTCAGACTATCTTGGATTCTAAGAGGATACAAGTGAAATTGTTCTACCCCTATAGTTTCTGGCAATAAGGATGAGACCCTAACAGGGTGAGACACTCCACTCACTCAAGAACCTATGGATGAGACTCTAAAAGACCTGACAAAAGTCAGAAAAAGGTAGGAATTCTTTCCAAAGTCAGCT